TTTGGGAGAAATAAAAAGCTGTGCGTCAGTTTTTATTTATCTACTCTCCATCTTGATCTATTATTTGCTTCAATTGATTTGTTTAACATTCTTAATAAAGTGGCAGAAAGCTCAAATTCTAGTGTAGAGTAAATATTAGTCTATTTTACTGAAAAAGCATACAGTAGTCATAAAATGTCTTCCACAACCAGATCAAAACTGCCTAAACTTTAATCGTTTAATCTCATAGTTTGATCACATATAGAACATGTTGAACTCTAATCGGATGTGACTAATCAGGACTTAATTGGCCTCCATACGGAGGAGATAGAAGATTATTATCGATTTTTCTTCAGATGATGATATCTTACAGCTTAATACTACCTCTATTACCTACCTTTGTATTAAGGTCTATTGACTTCGGATTGCTGATAGTGATCATGGTTTACCAAGCTTAGAAAATATCAGGCAAACGGATTGAAATGTATGAACGAGACTTCTTGCGATTACTGTAAAGGAAAAAAGAAAGTTACTTAAAGAAAATCAAAATTTATTAGAAACTCTTTTGATGATCATTTTTCGAGGTATTAAAGAATGTTTGTACATTTCAAAAACATTAATTTATTTTCTCTAGTCGGTCAACAACAACACCACAAGCAGTACCAGCAACAAATACACGTCGTAAACAAAGTTCTACTACAGAACAATCATCTCCACCTAATCCAATTACACCAAGACGTGGTCGAAGATCAACAAAATTAACTACACCAACTGAACAATCATCTGAAGAACAAACTTCAACTCATGATCGACCCGTTCGAATAGCTCTTAGTAGTCATTTAGTAAGAATTCATTTGTTTTCCTTATCTTAAGTTTCATTTTATTCAACTTATTATTTTAGAATTTTGATCAAAATCATTTAGATACATTACGTAAATTAGGTTTTGAAATTATGGATGAATCATGTCAAGTTGATGCTCTTGTTGTTGATCGTATAAGACGTACAAAAAAATTTTTTATGTGTCTTGCACGTGGTGCACATATATTATCACCAACATGGATTGAAACAATGATAAAAGAAAATCGTTATATACCATATGATAAATATTATTTAGAAGATACGAATGCTGAAACACGTTA